GGAGAAAGAGGAGGAAGGGAGGAGGAGGAGGAGGAAGAAGAACAAGGAGGAAGAGGAGGAGAAAGAGGAGGAAGGGAGGAGGAGGAGGAGGAAGAACAAGGAGGAAGGGGAGGAGAACTAATAAGAGAACTCTACAAAGCACACACACACACACACACACACACATACACACACACACACCCACACCCACACCCACACCCACACACACACATTGCTTGACACTGCGTCACATTGGTTCACATAAATGTACGTCTAATTTTAGCACCGGCCGCCTGGAAGCAAGCAAGCCAACAGGCAAAGAGGCAAAACTACCGGCCGGGCAACACCGATAGAACGATCAGTGATATGTTACTGCAAGCCAGGAGACCAAAATCAGCGAAAACGAAAACAAAAAGTTCAAGAGCAGTCAACCTCTCCGCACGGAGAAAACAAAAACGAAAACAACAAACGTCAACGACAATCCAGAGAAATGCACATACCAAACATTAAACAACAGATGGTTGTCGGAGTTTGACAGAGCCACAGACACAGAGAGAGAGAGAGAGAGAGGGAGAGGGAGAGGAGAGAGCAAAACGAGTGGAAAAGAGGACGAGACAAAAGAAGGCAGGAAGGGCAAATCATAGAGAGATAGGGTAGACAAGACAAAGTCATTGTAGTAGTGGCAGAGCCACGCATCACATTACAAACCGAGGCCGGAATAGATCACCATTGAATAGACAGATTATGTCTGTTCCTCTAGTCCCCCCTAATATAAATATAAAACTTTTGGAGATACAATGAAAAGTGTACTATTAGATTCTCCCCCATTAAATAAATAACACCTTTCAAAAAATAAAAAAAATGGAAGCATACTTACTGCCTTTGCTTCGCCACCACCAACAATTTCAATCCTTAACCCACGACGACGAGCCCCCTCCACCTTACCTTAGTCAATTCCAGATGTTCAACGCTAATACAACGCTAATAAGTAAGAGAGAAGCACATAGCACGTCCGATCTCCGATCTGCTACGTCGATCAAAATTTGCAGAGTCGCGGACATAAACGCCATCAAGCCGCCGCCGGATTCGTGGGAACGTCCTCTGCGCCACAACTCATTCTTCACCCCCGTCCGCTCCAGAGCCAGCTAAAAGACAACCGCGGAAGAAAAAACCCTTCTTCTTTATTAACCAAAAAGAAACTCCCTCCTTCGACAAAGAAGAAATTAAAAAAAAACTACCGGTAATTCTAAAATGGGCGCCAGAAAATACTCGTTTCCTCTACTAACTACGACTACCGTAGCGCAAATATGCATAAGAACGAAATGTCCTTTTTTACGATTTTCTCTTCCTTCCTCATACCAGAATTGCGCTACCTCGCCTCCGACATTCCCCCTCCCTTTCCTCCCTTTCTCTCCCTCCTTCCCCTTCCCTCTCTCCCTCCTTCCCCTTCCCTCTCCCGCTCCTTCCTCTTCCCTCCTCCACCTTCCCCCTCCCTCTCCCCCTCCTTCCCCGTCCCTCCCCCTCCTCCCTCCCTCTCCCCTCCTTCTCCATCCCTCTTCCCCTCATTCCCCCTCCCTCTCCGCCTCCTCCTCCTCCTTCCCTCTCGTTCCCCCTACCTCCACCTACCTTGACACCTCCTTTAACAATGCCACAATAGGCAGGAGCGCAAGCACACAACAAGGTACACAACACCACCTCTGTCTCGGCCAGTATCCACCCCCGCGCTCTTTCTCTTATTCACCTCGTTCTCCCCCTAATTGATAATCATCATCCATCAAGCACGGGGCCATCGAAAACCAATTGCAGCAGTCTGATTAGTCCACATAGGCACAGCCGCTACTCGATTAGCAAAGGCAGGAAACGCAATGCAGGGTGTCCCCGAGAACTCCACCACCACCGGAGAGAGACCCACCACTTCCATATCAACTGGTCAAATTGATAAAGCGCAATCCTTACCCGACCTAAAAAACAAAAAAGCGCCGAAGTCTTTTCGGCGAGAACTGAAGACCGAGCGTCTTCTGCAAGCCAGATATACAGCAGACGAGAGAGCGAGAGAGAGAGAAGAAACGACCGACGCATTAAAAATAGAGTATACACCCGAAAACAAACCCAAAAAAAAAAAGCTTCTGAAAATCCATCGTGAGACTTGCGATCTTCTCATCTTGCACATAGACCAGGTTGTGAGAAAGGGGAGAGAAGAAGAGCACGAGCAAGCAGGTAATGCGAGAGACGGTGCACGCAGCCAGAAAGGCGAGAGAGAGAGCAAGAAAAGTAAATCCGTGGAGGCAGCGAGAACGCTCGCACACCTGTGGCAACGCCGTCGGACGACGTATAAACCTATCAGTCAGTCGAGCACGAACCTATCAGCCAGAATCAGAATATAGTCCACGCCGCCGAACGACGTATGAACCTGTCTGTCAGTCAAACCCGAACTCGTTCAGTCAAGCACGAACCTATCAGCCAGAATATAGTCCACGCCGCCGAACGACGTATAAACCTGTCTGTCAGTCAAACACGAACTCCGGTCAGAATATATAGTCAACACAAAGATATAACTCTTCTCAGGAAACCGACGCTCAGCCGCTCAGTCTTCGGAGCAAAATACCGCAGAACACTTGGACTCAGCCGTTTCCAGGGACGTTGAGACGCGGTCTCCACGAGAAGCTCATCCATCCATCTATGGCCATAATCCTCCTCCTCCTCCTCCTCCCTTTCCTCCTCCTCCTCCCCTTTCCTCCCACCCTACCAAATTCCGAGCAAAATACCGCAGAATATTTGGACTCAGCCGTTTCCAGGGAAGTTGAGACGCGGTCTCCACGAGAAGCCCATCCATCCATCTATGGCCATAATCCTCCTCCTCCTCCTCCTCCTCCTCCTCCTCCTCTCCTCCTCCCCCTCCTCCTCCTCCTCCTCCCCGTTATTACTCCTCCTCCCTTTCCTCCTCCTCCTCCCCTTTCCTCCCACCCTACCAAATTCCGAGCAAAATACCGCAGAATATTTGGACTCAGCCCTTTCCAGGGAAGTTGAGACGTGGTCTCCACGACAAGCCCATCTATCTATCGTCATAACCTTCCACCTCCTCCTCCTCGTCCTCCCCTTTCCGCCCACCCTACCAAGTCATTAACTCAAAAATACGTCGGCCTGATGACGATTGTAACAAAGAAAAAGGGTAGTACACTCTGCACGGAGGATATCATCAGATTGAGCAGGTACATTGCACAAGCGCCAACTGGCAACAAAAATCATTAGCTGTTAGTTTTGACTTCTCATTAGTGAAGTAATAACTATGACCACTCCCTCGAGTCTATACTTACTATACACACATTCACATACTATCTTCTTTCTTTCTTCTTACGTAATTCCCTTGTTAATGAATACCTCCTTCCTTCCTTCCTTCCCCTTCTCATCCTTTCGAGCGGCAACGGCCGCTATCCACAAACCTCCCTCCCCCCCTTAAATTCGCCCCCACAGCCAAGCACACCCCAGACAAGCGTAGACCAAGAGAGAGAGCTCTGCAAACCGCGATCAGACGACCAAGCACAATATACTGCTCTCATCAGATCTACTACTGTGTCTAAAAACCAATTCCTTCTCCGAGATTTCTTTCTCCCTTCTTCTTCCTCTTAAGTCAGCGAGCAGCTATCGATCGTCCATCCGCAGAAGTGCGCAAGTAGTCCGTACAAGAGAACAAGAAGAGTGATTATCAAGATGGTCATCAGTTTTACATTTTTGAACCACATCGCTCGCTTTAATCGTCGCGCTTGATTTTTGAATCGGAACCCATCACACTGAAGAGCACCTGTTCGGTCGACGAGGAGATCGATCCTCTCTCCTCTGTCGAGAACCTTCTCGATGTTTTCCACCATCACGTTCCTCACTTCCACCATCTCCCCCTTCACCTTATTGATCGTATCGGCTTCGGGATTGGTAGAGAAGTAGTCCATCTGCTGCGAGAGAACTCTGCCAAACTCGTCATTCATAGCATAGGCAAGTGCCGTTTGCGCCAGCTTCCCATAAGCGGAGGAGAATTTGGCTTTGATGTCATCCAGAAAGGCAAATGGAATCCTCCTACCGAAGCTCTCCTCCGACATACACATGTACGTTAATCCTCCAGATCTCAGCAGATGGAAAATGTGGCGATCTTGTGTGTACGACACACGACTGTCTTGTTGGGGCTGCGCAGGCGGGATCTTCTCTAGAAGACGACGAGCCACAACATCAGCATTCCCTTGAGCCTTATTGTGCTCCGCTAGGATCATAGTTCCCCTGGCAACCAATGCATAGAGAATCGCCATCTCTCTCTCCCTTGATAGGTTGGTTGTCCAGGCAAGAGATACACTCACTTCCCTTGAAGCAACTTACTCCCTTCCTTCTCTTTCTTCTTGTGCCTTCCAAACTCTCCCTTCTCTCTCCGTCTTGCCTTGCCCCACTTCCCCGCCCACCCGGCCCTGGCAACCCCAACTCCGAGAAGACCCTCGGGGATGACGATAACGATAACGATGATGTGTTGGCTATGTCGATGGCGGAAACCGTACAGCGATGCGCGCGCGCTCGCACGTGCTACCCCCAACCCGAGACGCCAACGCCGACGAAAAAAGTGGAGCCTGCAATTTTTTAGGGCTCCCCTGATCTACAGGAACTGTGGAATGGATCTCTAGAGAAGACAAGACGGACAGAAAAATTAACGCAAGCAAACCTTCGGCGTCACGCGCCCATTCCCCCGCACTTTCGCCGACGCTAGCAACACTGCGCGCTTAAGCATCCTTCGGTCGGGTGACTTTTTCACCGCCACCCCCCCTTCCTCCTCCCCCTCCTCCTCCTCCTCTTCCTCTCCCCCCCAATTATAGATCCTCTTACGCAAATTAAGGAACGTAAGAATAATCGAGAGGGACGATTGCTGAAGTCGCGATCCGTTGCTTGATCGGTGATCGAATGAATGATTGATTGATTGATTGATTGATTGGTTGGTTGATTGATTGGTACTTACCGCACGATGACGCTTCCCTCCGCTCGACCGCCTACTTTCGCCGATATCGTCGATTCGTAAAACGCGCTCTCGTTCCGCTTTTCAATTTCTCGATTTCTTTTTGGCGCCTTGTGGATTCCACAGCAGGTGTGCGGATGGCGCCAGCTCGACTCGAAATGCCCGATATGAAATGAAAGGCGGGGAGAGGTAAACGCGGTTCCTACCAAACGACTCCCGCCGGTAGCGTGGGGATATTCACACCCTTCGACTTTTCCTCGACGTATCCGACGCGAGAAGGACCAAATTCAGTTTCAGGCTAATTAGGTCATCGCCACACTACTCTCGAATCGAAATGTGCAAAATGAGAATGAACTTTCTGCTAGAACATGGCCAGATGCACCCGCCACATTTTTGTCTTTTTCACATTTCGGGAGTGGTGTGGCGACGCCCTAAAAAGGCCCAGCGTTCACCAAGGAGTGTCACATCAACTGCAGCGAGATTGTGGGAAGGGGCCACTTGTACCGGTGGGGCCCGCTAACGCAACCCCCGCTGATTAGGATCGGGGGCAAGATGCATCCCCTTGAAATGTGAGAGGGAGCTATGCTTGCAGGGGTCCTCTGTATAGGCTTAGTAGTAGGGGCAGGTAGGTAGTGAAAGGTGAAATTCAGAGAAGAATAGTAGGTAGTCCAAGGTGAAATTGAAATGAGAACATACACTTGATCTTAGCCATGTTTTATTTCAATTTCACCTTTGACTAAGATCAAGTGTAGTAACTGTTCTGATCAGTTTAATATCTGAATAAAAATAAATAAATAAAATATAAAAGATCCTAGCGTTGAAATTGTTCCTTAAAAAAAAAAAAAACTAAGCTATATTCTTCTCTCAATTTCACTGGCGTTCTGCCATGTCATGGATCATGGAACATATCTTTCATCTTTCACTACCTACCTACCACTATTCCTAAGACTATACAGGTGACACCTGCAAGCAAAGCTCTCTCTCTTCAGTGAAGAATCTTTTTTTCTTTTTTTCTTTTTTTTTTAACAGAAGGCTCAAATCTATTGGTGGGGAGGGGCACCTGCTGGAAAACGGGTCCAGCGTCCCATTATACATCCATTATATATCCCAAAAATGAGCTTAGTCTAAAAAATAAAAAAAATTAAAAATTAAAAAAGAAGGCAAACGGGAAACTCCCGCTGGAAGGTACGGTCATTCACTTCGTACTACGCTGTTGTCATGGTCATTCGCCCCGTGGTATGGGGGTTCCATGGTCTCCGATACAACAATACAAACAGTGCGATACTGAACAAGCGCGTCTCAATTGCTGTTACGGGGCTCCCCGTATGCCTACAATTAGGAGTAGTGGTAGGTAGGTAGTGTGAGGTGAAATTGAGAGAAGAAAAGGGGGGGGGGGGGGGGAAAAAAAAAAAAAGGTGCCAAAAAAAGAGTGGCAAGATTGCGTTGCGTAAAGTGCCACTTGTATTCGGCGAGTTTGGGCGTCGCTGCACGACTTCATATGCACAGAAGAGAAAAGACGTGGCGGTGTATCTTCCCATGTTCTAGGGGAAGTTTCATTCTCATTTTGCACATTTGGCGAGGCGTGAAGCGAGGCCCTTGGCATGTTATGCGGCGGGACAGCTAAACGAATAGTGGTACGAGGCGAGAGCGAACGTCGTGAAAAACGCACTCAGAATCTACCTGCAGGTCCGTTAGCACAGCACAGATCATGAACCTGGTTGCCTTCGGTGAGTAAGTGCATTCTGACAGGACTACTGGTATTTAGAGCCTGATCTTCAGATACTGACTGCGGGCACTTCAGCCCCTGAGGACCTTTCCTGTGGGTGAATGGTGCATACATCTAAGGCTCGGACCCCCACCGCTCGGCGGCTGGAAAAGTTTTGGCATGGAAAGGGGCGTTTTCGGACCCCACCGGGCCGCCAGGAAGTTTTCCAGAGGTCTGGCCGCCAGGAAGTTTTCCAGAGGTCTGGCGGCGTCTATTTCCAACACCACCGCCGTTTCCAAAACACTGCCAGCCGTGTTCCTACATGGCTGGCGGATGGAAAAGTGTCCGCCCGCAGCTGGCACTCTTTTCCAAAACGCCCTCCAACAGGGTAGGGAGGGCAAAGCGCCAGCCGTTGGCATCGGGGACCTGCAAAGTTTGTGTTCCCGGCAGGCAGCAGCCAATAGCGATGCGATTGATCCTCGAGCAATTGGTCCAAAGAACAAAACAAGCGAGCGATTGGCTCAACTGATTTCCAAAGGGTTTTCCAAGAGCAATTGGTCCTCGGCGGTGGGGGCCCGGAAAAAGTACTTCCCGACTTTCCCAAATGACTTGCCCGCTTTTCGTGGCCACACGTCTTTTCCAGCCGCCGGCCGGTGGGGTCCAAGCCTAATTGACCCAAACAGATCATGCGTTCGACTAACCAGAGAGTGCATTTCGGCTCTTTTTCTCTCAGTTTCATCTCCCATTACCTACCTAGCATTACTCCTAAGCCTGTACAGGGGACCCCTGCAAGCATATCTATCTCTCACAATCAAGGAGATGCTTGTTGCCCCCGCCCTAATTGGCAGTGGGCAGGGGCAGTAGGGTGGGGCCGCCGCACAGCGGCTAACGCCAAGACCGAGCATTTTGTTAGTAGCTGCGCCTCCCATCCATTCCCCCCCTTCCCCTCCCAATCGAGTAACAGCAGTCACGGTGCCTATGGCCAACACTCAAACATCACACACAAGCACCCCCCCTTCCCAGACACACACATGTGATGGCCAAAGACCTACCAAGGGTGCCCGGGCGGTGAGTGAGGATTGAACCCACGACCTCCTGAATGCCACTTGCATGCCTAACCAACTGAGCTAGATCGCTTGCTTTTCTGGTCTCTTCCCTATACTACTAAAGCAAACAGTGGTCCTCGCGTGGGGCCCAACAGAAACCGGGCGGCTCCACGCGGGACCGGTTACGGTTTGCGGCCAAGCAGGAACCGGTGGCACACGGGGCGAGGGGCCTCCGCGCGGGAGTGATTACAGGCAGCAGCCAAGGGGGAACTGGTGGAACACGGGGTGAGCGGCAGAGAAATGTCGGCGCGTGGTGAGAAGAAAGCGGGCGGCTCCGCGCGGGACCAGTTACGGCTAGTGGCCAAGCAAGAAGTGGTGGAACACGGGGTGAGGGCCGGAGCGATGTCGGCGCGTGGGGCGAAGAGGAATCTGTCGTCGACCTCGATCCTCGCGCGTGGAACGGAGAGAGAGAGAGAGAGAGAGAGAGAGAGAGAGAGAGAGAGAGAGAGAGAGAGAGAGAGAGAGAGAGAGAGAGTTTTCCATCGATTGGTTG